ATTGGTAAGATTAAATAAATTTGATTGATTATTTAAAGGCATATTATTGATTGAGGTTGATTGATTTAAAGGTATATGATTAACCGAAGTCAAATTTGATTGATTATTTAAAATCGAAGTTGGTTGATTTAAAAATATATGATTAACTGAATTTAATTGAAGTGTATGATTAATCGAAGTTGATTGATTTTCTAAGGGAATATCATCTTCGTGTATAATGTTTTGCTGATAAAGCATTGAAATTATTGGTAATTCAGATTGTGGATCTTGCCCAAACACAAGTCAATATGGTGTTGACTTTGTTGATTTACATTCTTGGCAGTTCATCACCCTAAATTGGATAAAGTTTAATTACTTAATATTAAATAATACAATAAATTATACTTTAATTTTTTTATTTACTTACAAATAACAAATGGTAGCCCAACACTCCAATCTTTTTGGTTAGTCTCTTCCATCTATGCACCAAGCTTCATCTGAAGAATATCATTACCTTTTTCAATGGAACCCTGATATTGGGGATACCTTGAATGTCCATGAATAAACTTAATAGTTGGCCAAAGTTTAATTGTTTCTTTTACTATTTCACCAACAAATTCGCCTCCATTATCTGAATGTAAGATTGCTGGTGGTCCATACATCAAACAAAATCGTAAAAGAAAACTTGCAGCTTCTTCTGCAGATCTTGTTCTAGTAGGTTCAGCAGCAGAAAATTGTATAAAGTGGTCTCTAATATGGATAATATAATTAAATTCTCCATCTGGAGCTGCAGTCATACTTATCATATCTACCTTTAAAATATCTATTTTCCGGATATTTTTAAATTTATTACAGTTAATTCAAGAAAATGCCTGGAGTAAATAGTGTCTATTCAACACCAATTCCAATTTTTCTGGGCTAGTAAAAATTCTTTTGGCTGGTTAAAAACATAAGCAATTATAAACATAAAATACTAATCTTTGATTTTCTATTTCCTGGATATTTCTAATCAATCCAAGAAATAATAGTATCTATTCAACACCAATTCCAATTCTTCCGGTTGGTAATCTTGGTTCCTTAGGCTCTTTTACAGCTGTTCTTAGAGATGTTATAGGGTCTGGTCTTAGAGTAATAGACCACAGTTAGTTTAAGATTGGTCTGAGCTAAAAAAAATTGGTCTGCTCTAAGTCTTAATACTGGACTGGTCTGAACTGGTATAGACTAGCAAAGTCTTAAGACCGAAGACTATAATAGGCCAGACTAAACTTAGACCAAAATTGACCAGACTAAACCAGTAACATCCCTAGCTATTCTCATAAATTTTGAAACAAACTAAAAATTTGGTTGCTTTCTGAAATCTCTTCTGTTTCGTTCTAAAGGTCCTAACTCTTTAGAATCATGTCATTGTTTTCGGAACTTCAGTCCGAAGATAGCGATGTATTTCTTGAAGAACTAGATGATCTATAGAATGAAACCGGAAGATTTCAGGAAACAAGCAAATTTTTAGATTGTCCCAAAATCTGTGCTTGCTAAAAAATTTGCATCTAGTATCAGGGCGATTATCTTAAAGACCTTTATAAGCCAATCTACCATATTGCTTGTCATGCTTTTTTTCTCACTGGAAATCGAAAAAGGGTTAGTTTAACCAATAAATTGTTATTATCTTGACTAAATAAAATTAAATATATCCAAATTTATAAAGGAAAAAACAAAAAATTAAATGTAGTTAAGGTTGAGTTAGTTTGGATTGCAAAAAAATTGAATACCAGCAAAAAGCACAGAGATAAAATAAAAATCAGATTTTTCTATTTGCTTGATTGATTCTTGTTTTATATTTTTTCTTTATCTTTTTCAACTCCACTTTCATTTCTGAATCCTTTCTTTTTATTTTTCTTAACACCACTTCCATTATTTTCATATCTAAATCCTTTCTTTTTGTTTTTCTTAATACCACTTCCATCTTCTTTTTTGGCTCCACTTCTGTTCTTTTTAATTTTGACTCTTTTTATCTTTCTTAACTCCAATTTTGTCCTTTTTATTCTTTTTACTTCTAACTTCATAATATTTTGGGCAGGTTAGTGTCTATTCTCATCCTCTAGTTTCCTATCTTCGTGAATGGCGTCGGGGGTTGCTAGAGATAAATGATCTTCAAAATTTGGGCTTAGTTGGCTACCTTTCATAGTTGTACTATCATAGTCATATTAATTTTACCTTAGTAGTACGTATTAAAGTGGCCAAAGTTTTGTAAATTTATTCAGTCTGGCGGTGTCGCTTTTTCTGGAAAAACTTTACTGAAATTAGCCATTAATACTTAAATTTTTTTCGAATTTAAAAGTTTATTACCTCATTCGTTGCCTAAATTTGCCTAAATTTGCTCTCTAAGTGAAATCTTTCGGGATACTAATCTATACTGATCTTTTTTCACTAGAGATGTACGAAGAGGTAAAAAATACTTTAAGATGGTTAAAAAAAAATTTATTATATGAAACTATGAGTTGCCAATTGACGATATAGTTTTTCATAGTAAGAGTTACTTTAAAAATTTTAATTTATGTTGTGTAACTCAGTAATCTTCAAGCCAATCAAATTGAATATCTGCCATGCTTGAGTAAGACATAGATAGCTCTTTTAGGTATAGATCATAGATAATTAGTCTAAGCCACTGTTCTATTAATTGTAGTATAAATAAGATGTGGTGACTTAGTGTAGTAGTCTAGTTGTCACCCTCTCCAAGAAGCAGGTCTTGAGTTCAAATTCCACTGGCAATAATATTTAAAAAATAGGCCTGTGTTCAGTTGATGGCTATGCTTATATTGGGAAAATTTTTTAGGTGCAAATCTGTGCAGATTTTTAAAAGCTAATAATAATCAAAAATCTGCAAAGATCTGCTACTCCACACTTATATGTGAAGGAATTTTTTATAATTTCTGCTAAGATTTTTAAAATATATAAATCTGCGCAAATTTTTTATTAAATATCACAGAGATATAATAGCCCAAATTAGGCTTAATTTGGGCCAAATTTTAAAATTAATCCAGATAAATTCACCAATTATACAAGTTTAAAACATAATATCGATTTTATATAAAATTTAAAGTTTATTTTTATAATATATTATAATTATTTATATTATTATTCAAAGGTTTTTGCTAAACTCTTTCCGACGATCATCTAAACCAAAAATTCAAACTAACAGAAAAACAAAATTTTTGTTGGAGAGTCGTGGCCGATGTAGTGGTTTGTCTAGAGATCAATATTTACTCTGCGGAACTCCTCTAAAAGATATTTGGCATGCGTTACTATACAAGTTAACTGGCAAGGTAACAATAAACCTGGAGGTGGCGCCCTTGTATATAAAATCTTGGTGGAGTGTGGGCAAAGCCCAACTTCGTCTACAAAGCTACTCAACTGTTAGCAAAAAACACAGAAGATACAACAAAACTTTAGTTTTTTCAAGCCACACTCTTTTACTTGGTTTAGTGGTTCTCTTCTTTACTTATTCTCGTCTCCCTATCGGTCTTCCAAATTTTTTCAAAAAGTGGGAGATTTGGATTACCTCCTCCAAAAGATCAACATTGTTTACTTTCTAAATTCAGACAACCTAATGAATTGCAACTACATGTTTTATGGATACGGTGCATTAGAATCGAGCACCAAGCACAGAACTCTAATAATGGCAGCAGGTGGCTTGAGATATAGGTCTACGGACAGTGGCAGCATCTTGCTTGAGATACGATTAGGATGGGCACGACATAGTTATTTGGAGTCAGTTGGAAGGTCAGAAAGAAAAATTGAACATTAAGGCGAAGCTTTACAATAGAGATATACAAATGTTGCATTTGTTATATCATTTTTATACTCACATGACACAGGTTATAATAGTGTATTTTTTTCTTCTTTTTCTTTCTTTGGGTGCATCCATCAGGACTATTCTATTCTTTTTTTTGCTTTTTTGATCTTTCTTCTATTATGTTAGAATTCTGTTTAGGATTTATTTTTTTTTAGTTATGTCTTTTTTTTTTTTCTCTGTTTTTTCTCTTTCTTTTTCTAGATATAGTTTTTTTCTTTCATAAATGTGGCATATTTGTTTTTTCTTTTAAAAAAGTAAGAGATTAACTATTCTGCCCAGATTTAGGTAGAAAAAGTTTTAAAGAAGGAATAGATAGTCTTGATGGGCTAGCAGAAACCTTCTGGTGAAGTTTTATTTTCTTCAAGTGCAGGAGTAAATATTATAGAGAAGAATTCTGCTTATAGCAGATCGCACATGGGTGATTTGAACTTCAGTTACAAAGAGCTGAGTGAGCTAATACTTGTAATTTAAGTATCGTAAAAACTTGATCTTAGAGTCTCGTTTTTTAAAAATTTGTAATATTTCTCAGTATAATATTCCAGGCCTAATAAAGTAGAGGCAAGATTGCCGAATTTAAAAAAAAAAAAAAAAAAAAAATATCATTAATTAATTACTAATTACATTAAAATAATAATATACTTTTCACTTGAAAGATAGCTTGATGAATATTTCAATTACCAGATTTAGTAGTTATACTGATTTCAGCGATTTTTTATTGTTAAATATATAAAGTAAAAATAAAACAATAACAAATACAGTATATTAATATCATCTTAATATCATCTTAATATTATTAATTAATTACTGATTACATTAAAATAATATACCTTTTATTTGGAAGATATGTGAACAAACATCTCAATTAACAGATTTAGTAGTTATACCGATTTTGGCGATTTTTCATTGTTAAATATATAAAGTAAGAATAAAACAATAACAAATATATTATTATTGCCTTAATATCAACTAATTATATTAAAATAATATACCTAATATGTGATAGAAATGTATATTATATGATTATCAGAGATTCTGTATTGTTTTCTTGATCTTGTATATAAAAAAAAAACAATGCTAAATCTTTAATAATATCTATTCTTTTATCACTATGCAATTAATTGTTTGAATGTCCAGGCTTGGTTTGACACTATATATATTAGATATTGCTATAATATATTTAGTTAATTTTTTTGTCAGAAAGATACATGGAAAAATTGTTTAGTTATACAAGATTGAAGATTACGCTTTTTAATTTATCTACATAGTGTTACATATCTAAATTTTCTTATAAAAAAATTCGGTTATTAAAAATTCAAAAAATAATTTTATAGAATATCATCTCACATAGTTAAAAATTTCTTTATTGTTAAAGATTTAACATATTTATCTTTAACGGCATGTATATTTTGTTGAATATTGGCTCTCATAGTTAAGAATAATTTTTTGGTATAACTTTAATACATTTATTTTTAACTTCCAAAGAGCTTTGTTTTATTTGAGATATTTATATAACACAAGTCACAGGTGTTTGAAGAATTCTGCATATTACTTCTCCAATTCATATACAAACAAATTACTTTGTTGAATTTTTCATATTATCTTTAACTTTTCTTAAAAGTTTTTCAGATGAGCTTTTATTTTGACAAACAGCAAAATCATGAATTTTCTTAGAATTCAGTGTATATCTTTGATAATATTTTTGTGTTCATAATATTACTATATTTGGTATAATGTTTTTGTAATATTTGTGTATATTTATATTTTGTACTTTTGTTTAAAAAAAAGAAGAAATTGGCACTTTCTAGAGAGAAAAAAATTAACACATTCTGGAAAAAAGAACAGACAATGCATTGTTTATATGTTATTTATATTAATAGAAAAATTAATTCTGCACAATGGTTTTCAGTAAGCAAAATCTAAAGTATACCCCTGACTTAGTTTAAATTCTGATCATTAAATGAATCTACAGTATACTCTTAATTTGTTTTTATGTATTTATAGCAAATTTATTCAAAAAAGTATTTAAAACGATACATGTATCATACTTTTTTTTTGCCAAAATTAAATAAAATATTGAACCCAATATTAAATGTATAATAGTAAATAAAAAATGTTATCATCCAAAGATAATTTTAAACACAAAACAAAAAAAGTTCAATGTTATTGACCAAAATGTAATGGAAAATTTGTTGAGAACTACTACAACCATAGAGAGATCATCAACTAAACGTAAATATGAAGAAAATCACTTTCAAAACACAATAGTTCAGAAAGTAAAGATTCAAAAATGAATATTCGAATAGCAGTGTTTCTAAAAATGAGAAAGCATTGCTACTAGCATTCTAACCAAAAAGTGATGATTCAAGTGGATTTTCAAATAACAGTAGTTCTGAAAATAATAAAACCAATAATTCAGAAAGTGAAAAAGATAATACAACTAGTAAAAATGATGAAGAAGATAGCTTTAATAGAAAAGTTGATATAATAAGTTTATATTTAGAAGATGATTTTGATGAAAAATCGTCAATTTCTAAAAAATCAAATAAAGGAAAGTTTATAAAATAATATCGAATGAAGAGACGAATGTTGATTAACCTTTAGGAAATAAATGACTATTTGATATATATCAATTATTAGATAAAGATATTCCTATGACAATTATAGATGAAGATATTTTTATGACAATTATAGACGAAAAGCCTGATGAGCCTGATAATTCATCTTCTTTAAGCGATTTGTTAACAGACTCACAAGAATATAAAACTATTAACTTTATTTCTGAAACTCGATCTTGAAGTTTTGACCCATATTTTAAATTTAAAAATAGTTCGAATGATTGGATAATCTTATAAATAATAAAATATTAGCAAAGATTCAATATACCAATACCAGTACAGAAGCACTAACAAAGTACATATGTTGTTTACTTCAACATTTTGAAATAAAAGAAGTTGATAAGTTACCAACATCTATGTATACCTTAAAATTATCTTTAGGTATCTTAACTAAATATAAAAAATATTCTGTATGTCAAAATGTCATACACTTTATAACCTATTAGAAATAAAAGAGTATGAAGTGGATGATCAACCAGCATGTAAAAAGTGTATTCATGTAGAATTTCCCAATTATAGAATGATATCTAAATGATCAGCATATAATAAACTATTGGCAAAATTAATAAATACAGAGAAGGTGTATTATTACGTCCATTAAAACTTTACCCGATTGGAAGTATAAAGCAACAACTTTATATGATGTATCAGCAAGCAGGCTTTGAAAAAATGTTAACACATTCTAGTAAAAGAAAAGTTCTAAAATAATTTACTCAGATATTTATAAGAGTAATATCTGGAAAAAGTTTGCCATAAATCCAGATAATCTAAGTCTATTTTTTACAGAAAAAACACTTGATACACATATCAGCCTAGCTATTAATATCAATTGGTTTTAGCCATTTGATTA